TGTCCATGTCCCACCTCACCCCTCCATGGTCAAGACTGAGAACTGTGCTCTGCACCCAGTCCATGGTGAGGATTGAGAACTACGACCCCCACCCCCAGGTCTGATAAGGATTACAGATTGTTCCTGATAATCACCCTCATAGGCCATGGTGAAGAGTACGATTATCCCCCAAGGCTGTGGTGAGAACTGAGAATTACACACCCCCACCCCTTGGTGAGGATTGAGGATTACCTCCGAGGCCCTTAGACTGCGGTGAGGGTTGAAGATTACCCCCCCCCCCAGGCTGTGGTGAGGACTGAAAATTATCCTCACAGACTGCGGTGAGAGCTCAGGATTACCCCCTTAAACCATGATAGAGACAGAGGCTTACTCCCACCCACCCCCAACCCCCGCAGGCTGTGGTGAGGACTGAGGTTTACCCCCGCAGGCTGTGATTAGGATTGAGAATTACCCCCCTAGGGCCATAGTTTGATTTTTCTATTTTTTGAGGTAAAAAGGAACGATAAACCCAAAGGAAGGAATGGGCAGTCCTCCGAGGAAAGAGTGACGGAGAAGGCCCACGGTTTGAGTTTTGCGTCCTGGGAGCAGCCTCCTTGGGGCATGGTGACCATCCTCCACCTGGAAACACCAGAACACCCGCCCTCCTGCGAGGCTGAGGGGTTCTTGGTCCCTAGCATGGGCTGGGCTGGGGGTCAGTAGGCGTCCTGGGGCCGGGTCAGGCTGTGCAAAGGCTGGTCGTAGATGCTGGAGGGGTCTCCAGGAGAAACAGCGGGACCCTTTGCTATGCTTATCAAAACTGGCAGTAGTGTGTACTTCTGCGCATGCGCATAGTCACGTCACCCCAAGACCTCCACGCACCCCCTGCCATGTCAACTCGGGACAGAGGATGTCTTTGGGGGCCACCTTAGGGGAGAGCACAGCTCATACACACATTTGCACATGCTACACAGGTGGGCACACAGATACAGGCACGTAGGACATGCGGAGACATGAACATGCGTACACGGTGTATGCACGTATGAACACCCAGATACGCCTACATACACACATCACACACGCACGTGTACACATCACACGCATGCCTATCATTACATAGGCCTCCCCCACGATGCGTCCAAAACACCAGTTCTGGATCTTTTAAAGTAGAACAGCATCAGCCCACCAGCCATTCTAAGGACATTCAGCATCGTCAGAGGTCACCGGTGTCATTCAGCATCAGGAAAGCAAACTTTCATTTCTGAAAAACACAAAGTAGTTTGGTTTTCAAATTCACATTTGAACCATGTTAACCACATGCGGTACTGGACTCTCCACACCTAACCACCACCTCCAAGTGGGCATCGCCTAACCACCACCTCCACACAGGACATCGCCTAACCACCACCTCCACCTCCACCTCCACACGGGCATCGCCTAACCACCACCTCCACACAGGGCATCGCCTAACCACCACCTCCATCTCCCCCTGGGGCATCACCTAATCACCACCTCCACCTCCCCCTGGGGCATCGCCTCTCTGGTTAGTACCAACCCTTCACATTCCCAGGGAGACATACAGGTCCTCGTAAAAGCCCAAAGCTACTATCTGCATGAGGTGCCTAGTTCTATGCTTTCTTTTCCAAAATCCATTTACAACCTCAGGCTTACATTCGCTTTAACAATCCGACTACTCCAGAGTGGTGCTGTGGGACTTCACACATTAAGCGATCTAGGGGAAAGAACTGAGCAGATGTGGTTCTTTTGAGGCCAGTCCTGAGGGAACCTGCCAGTCAGGCTGGACCAGTCTTTGAAACGTGACCAGCCACGGGGACCTAGCCAAACAGGAAATACAGGTCAGTCTGGGTGAGAGTGCCACACAGATGCCATGGGGACGAGGGGTGAGGGCTGGTCAGGTACGTCTGTGTGGACCCTAGTTGGCCTGTGTTGAGAACTGATTTTCCTGCTATTCAGGCTGAGAGACCAGGGCCCCCTCCTCACTCCACACTGGCGGGCTAGAGGGGCCATAGGACGTGACGTGCAGCATCAAACGGCAGTTTGGAAACAGTGCCAGGTGCTGGGGCACCAAAAGCTGGGGTCAGAGCTGAGAGTGGCCTGTACTTGGGTCTGAGTCCCTCCCCTTCCCACCCCCAACACAGGAGCCCCTTCTCCAGCCTAAACCCCACACATTGCCTGAGCCCCGCTCCCATCTGCACTTTCCCTGGGCCCCTCTCCTTACTGAGCCCCACCCTCTCCTCCCCCAGCTTCCCCCTCTAGCAGAGCTGCTGCCCCCTCCCCTTGCTGGTTATTGGTGATGAATCTCCTGATCCCTCTTCATCCAGCTGCTTGAAGAATTTGCTCAGCATACACTGAAAGGGAGTGAAGAGAGCATACAACCTCTGCAGCCTCGACTGCTGAAAATGAAGAGGACTTGAAGATCAGATGCGGATTGCATCTCAACGTCAAGAAAACAAAGGCTCTTACCACAGGCAACATCCTGATGGGAAAAAGACTGAAACTGTCAACAGCTTCATCTCACTTGGATCCACAGTTAACACAGGGTACCAGCAATCGGGGAATCAGCAGACACATGGAGAAAGTCTGTGTAGTTAGGGACCTCTCCAATTTATTGAGGAGTAATGATACCACTTTGACGACTAAGGTGCATCTGACTCAGGCCATGGTCTTTCTGACCACTTGGACAAAGTGTTGTTGGAGTGCTCTCTAGAGGCAAAGATTGATAAAGCTTCGCTTCATGTACTTCGGGCAAGTTGCTAGCAGGGGCTATTCGTCTGAAAGGGATATGATGCTTGGAAAGGCAGGTGACCAATGAAGGAGAGGAAGACCCTTGACCAGGTGAACTGCCACAAGGGCCTCTAACGTGTAAGGAAGTGTGAGGACGGCACAGGACAGGACAGGGCTCTGATCTGTGTTCACAGGGTCACTCTGCGTCATTAGCCACTACTCACCCTGAGACCCACCTTCTGAGTGCCTCCCCTCCCGAGCCCTGGCCCCTCCCCTTCTGAGTAAACCCCTTCCTCCCCCCAGCTCTCTCCTCTCCTGAACCCGCCTCTCTTCAGGCTCCTCCCTCTCAGAATCTCCCAAGAGCAGACATGAGGGAGCCCAGGAGACTGGCCTACAGCCTCCCCCATGTGCTGCCATGGAATGCCGGTGGTGTTGGAATTGGAGCCCTGACCATCCCAGGGCACCAGGGTAGACCAGGTGGCACTCCTGTTGCTGAGGGGAGCGGACATGCATGGGAACAGCACACCCAGATCCCCTGTCCTTGGACCATCCAGAGAAATGATGTCCGGGTGTATCCACTCCCTGTCCAGGGCCCTCTGCCTTCTGGAACTTCCTCTGTCTCAGCAGATACACAGAATTCTTGTTGCTGTTGTGTACAGGGAACCTACAGCCGACCCTCCAGCAGGTTTTTAGGAACAGTTAATTGCAGGGAGGAGAGTGCCCATTCTTCTGCAGAGAAGCTGGTAGCCTTGAACAGCACACCTTCAGGATTGCAGTGCGGCTTCTTGCCACTGAGTGGTGGCAAAACTGATCCAGCTGGAGGACAGCAGTCCAAAAGCAGATATGGAGGACAGTCCCTAGATGTGCCCGCCTCCCAAAATGGGCCACATACCTGTGTGTGCGCCAGCCACCTCCCCTCTCACGTTCCTTCCCCTGGAGGGGCTGCCAGCAGACCCAGACAGAAGGCCATGGCTGATCAGACTGGGCAGTGAGCAGGCATGCAGGTGCACCATCTCCCTCCTCCTGATGTCCACACCTACACTGACAAGGTGCTGGACCCTTAACGGGGGAAGGGTCTCCAGTTTGAGGCCAGTGTGGGCTGTGCACCCTGACCCCCCCAGAGAGGGGCAGAAAGCAGGAGGTCAGGACAGAGGTGGGTGTCACTAGGGAACACAGGCATTGCCAGATCTCAGTGTGGCTTGTGCCCCACTCTGGGAAAGGTGGCATGTCACAGATGAGCAGGGCAGAGCCAGAGTGAAGTCAAGCTGCGAGAACTTAACTTGCTACTTAAAGAGGCATCTGCAGAGATTAAAGACCACAGTACTCACTGTTTCGAGAGGCCCCAGTGTCACCTGAGGTGGCATCTGCAGCGCCCGGGAGGCAACAAATCCTGACACCAGGGACCCTCAGCTACCAGCCCTCAGTCTTTAAGAAGGCAACCGCCGATTCAGACAAATCTTCAGAGTGAAGATGAGTCAAGGGGTGATTTCAGGGCGTGGGGTGCCACAATGCAGAAAGACAAGGCCGAGAGCAGGGAGTGCCGGAGCCAAGACCAGGAGGGCCCAGAGGTGCTGGGCGTTCCAGGTGGAGGTGGCAGACCCTAAGGCCCTCAAGGTGGTCAAGCACTAACAGCTGGATAAAGGGGCAGAGGGGCTGTCAGTGTGGGAGGGCCAAGTCTCTGGATACCCTCTGTCAGGCTGCAAGGGCCAGAGGAGTAGAAACGGGGGAGGGGCTGGCAAAAGGCCAGTCAGACTCCAGAGCCCCACGGCTGGGAGAGGCCCAGGCCCTGTAACCCTGCCTGGATCACATCTCAGGCTGCTTCTGCGGAGGGCGGGGAACATCCATGGATGACTGAGGCTCTGAGGTGGCACCAGAGATGCCACACACACTTCAAGGTCCCTTTTCAGCCTGGACACGTGTGATCCCAGCCCCTTGAAGGCTTCCATGTCCAGGGCGGGCGGAACCGAGATCACAGGCTGCAGAAGGGCTCCTTTATTCATCTCCTTGGTCAACAGCGGCCAGGAGGACAGATGCTCTCTCTTCTTTCGGTCTTAAAGTGGTAAAGGGAGAAAGGGACCCTGGTCCATGTCAACACTTCTGGGGGACACTCCCAACCCCCAGAACAGGCTTTGAGAGGACAGTGGGACTTGGCAGTCCTGGAGGCGTCTCTGCTGCTGGCAGGGTCTGAGCTAAGCCCCCACCTGTGAGTGGTGAGGGGGGTCTGCTCTGACCAGCACCAGTGGAGAGGCTGCAGCAGGCGTCCCTGAGCCCAGATCCACTCATTGAGGGGCCGTCTTCGCCCTGGACACTGCCGCTCTGTGCACCTTCTGCTGGCTGACCTGCTTACTCTGATGCTCACAGATGAGTGGGGAGCCCAGATCAATCACGTCTCCAGTGCTGGGGGCCTGGGAGAACAGAAATGGGCAGTCACTGAGACATGGGAGACACTTACTTGGGAACAGTGTTTGACAGCACTGGCCTGGCCGAAACCAGATCGAGTCTACAGGCTGCCTGGTCTACAGACTTTCCAGAGATCAAATCTGGACTGTTTGGGGTTGCTCTGCTCTAGAGAAGTTTACCCAGCACAAGAACAGGACACCTGCAGTGTCTGAGGTCGCAGGAGGTTGTCACTGCCAGACAGTGGACCAAAGGGGACCACACGGAACACCAGGCAGGCACTGTGTCTGCCGAAAAATCCGTGGTTACGTTCACGAGTCAGCTCTGAGCAGGAGACGCCGGACCTTGGCTGTTCAGATCATGTACAGCAGGGGACAGGGGGCAGTGCCGGGCAGATGGTGGGACCTCAGAAAAGCACCCACATCTGCGACTGTCTCACTCATGCTGAAATCCAGCAGGAATGTGGAGGGAAAGGCCTTTTCTTCAAGCTTCCAGGTGTAAGCGGACTTGAGAAACAATCCTCTCCTATTGGAGTTTCACCTCATAACCCTCCCCACGTTTCGGAGGCTGTAAGCCTGAACTGCTTCAATCTTTTCCCAGAGAGATGGTGCATTTGAACTGCTGACCTTCTGGTTAGTAGCCCAATATGTGACACACTAGGCCATCAGGGCTCCTGGTGGGAGGTTGATGAGAAGATTCAGAGAGAAACAGTGACAGCAGGATGAGCACACTGTCACATGAACCACAGGGTTAGCTCCCTGTACAGCAGGTAAAACGCCGGCCTCCACAGGGGACCCGAGTCCAGTGTATCCTCCTGGGCAGCCAGTGCTGGGCAGAGGGTGCTAATCCTGCTGAACAGTGGGGGCCAGCCACCCACACACCTCACCTGCCCAGGGACACCTCCGTGCCCACAGTGGGAAGAAGCCAGGAGAGGCCTGCGTGGGCCTTCTCAGGCCTCAGAGGGAATCCCAGAGACCCCCCCACCCTGATTTATCCCCCCAGCCCCACGACCTGAGAGAAAGCCAGCTCCTGCAGGGAGTGCTGCCCCAGAGGACTAGGGAAGACAGGCCACTGGTGTCCCCCCACCTCTGCTTGATGCCCTGAGGTCACATCCCAGAGCACACGGCCACCTCAGCATAGGCCCGTGCAAGAGCCAGAGGCCCAAGGGGTCAGGGACAGGAGCCTGATGGGGGAGGGGCAAAGAAGCTGCTGGTTCCTCTGAGAAGGAGAGGTGTCTGAGGGTGTCGCTCGGTTCGGAAGCTGCCGTGAGCACCCCTTCTATCATGCTGGCAGGCATCCCATCCCAGGCTCCCACGTACCAGCCAGCCTTGGCCCTTCCCTTCCATGGCTATAGGACCCACCCAATGCTGGGAGCCGCGGCCAAGGCACAGGAGGGGGCAGGGAGCAGCCTTGGGGGGCAGGACCAGCGCTGAACCCACATGAAATTCCCAGCTGTGCTTCACCAGTAATCACAACGTCACTGGGGCCCAGGCAGCCGAGGACTCACAGGAGTCACCACGGGCTCCTTCTGAGGTAGGCTTCTGCCCCGGGGTCAGGAGGAGGAGGAGGGGCCACCACAGGGCCAGGCTGGGCCGTCACCAACACAACTGCTGGGTCAGAAGTCTGCAGGACACTGTGCTGAGGGCTGCACAGCCCAGCCCTCCCCACAAGGTGGGTCCCTCCATCACTCAACAGCCCAGCCAACTCACAGGCCCTCAGTCTCCCTGCCCGAGGTCCACCATCTCCCCCTACTGACCCAAGTGGCCACCTGGGCCTCAGCCTTCCCGTCCATAAACAGGAGTGATGCGAGCAGGGCCTGAGAGACACTGCATGGAGGGCAGAGGACACGGGGTGGGGCAGGGCCAGCACAGGCTGCCTCTCCTTGGCTTACAGGTGATTACCCCGGATTAGTGGGCGGGGTGGCTCAGTGCTGTCCCTGGTGTCCAGCTGCCACTCAGACTGCAGCCACTGATTAGACAAGACGCCACACCAAGTCCCTTGAAGGGGCTCCTTGTCACATATTCATGGCCTGTGATTCCCACGTCCGCCACAGGGCCCACTAGAGGCCACTGCTGAGGGCTCCCAGCCCTGCCCCTGGTGGAAGCCCACCCCCACTCTCTGCAAACCAGTGGAGCCAGACCCCCTCTGCTTCCTGATCAACTAAGGGGCCTTGTAGTGTAGCCTCACTGCACTGGCCCAGCCTCTGGCTACAGTGTGGACCTGGCCTGACGGGGCACCCCTTAGATGACCAACTGATTCCCCAGAGGCCCCATGGGTAGGCCTCAGGATCTAGAAGCATGAGGTCTGTCACTCTCCTGGTAGCAAGGTCTTCAGGCCCCCAATGCGCTCTGGACTGGTCAATGCTCTGTGAGCTGAGCACAGAGGCCTTCAGTGCCCGCCCTGACAGCCCCCCTCAAACCTGAGAGCACCCCACATCCAGGCACTAGTAGGTAGCCTGCCTGCACAAAGGCCCCCACCTGGCTGGCTGCCTGGTTCCAGAGGGAAGTCACTTGTGACCATGGGGGGTGGACGAGGGCAGTCACAGTTCCACCCTGAGCACACATGCCATCTAAGGTGGTGGGGGCCTGGTCACTGGGTGACTGCAGCCTGCTCCCCCTCCCACTCCAATGACCTGATGTCACACGTACAACACTTCCTGTAGACCTTCTCCCTCAGGCCATGGTGATGACCACCCACAAGGTCACCTCAAGGTCCCCAAGGCCATGGGTGGAGGTGTCAGTTGTCCTGGAGGCCCCCATGGAGGACACCCTCCCCAGGAGCACAGGCTGAGCCGGGGAGGGGAGCAGCCTCACCTGGGCTCCGGACCACTATTGTCAAACTGGGCCAGGAGCTCCCTGAGCTCCGGAGCCACGTGGCCGGCGGCAGTAGCGGCCTCAGCAATGGCTTTCCGGTACATCCCCTTCTTCTTGCGGTTGAACCTCAGTTTGAAAAACTCCGAGAAAGGAGCCAGTTTGGAAAGAGACAAGAGGGACGTGGTTGGAGAACCGAACCAGGAAACCTTGGCTTCTCTCCAGGAGGGAGCACCTTGCTCCTTCCGGCTGAGGCTGATATCCAGGATGCGGGCCGGCCACCAGGGGAACCCGGGGATCTTGCCCCACACGATGTCCCCCACAGCCACCGTCCTGCCGTCCTCGGTCACACCCCTGGAGACACTCTGTGTGTGCAGCCTGACCGTCAGGGGCGGGACTGTGGGCCGCCCAGCTCTGGGGGACGAAGGTGCCTGCACCCTGCCACGAGGCGAGAGCTCACAGGGCCGTGCTGCTGCCCGCTCTGGGCTGGACACCTTGGACTCCTCCGGGCTGTCGCTACTGCACACGGACTCGCAGGCAGAATCGGCCTTCCTCATCGGGTAGTTGACCAGAAAGGCCAGGTCCTGGTGCCTGGGCTCACCCCGGGGGAACGTGACGCTTTCCTCTTCACTGGAGTTGCCAGGAGACCTGTCTGCCATCCTGTCTCGGGACGAGCCGTTGGCAAAGAGCGCTGCGGTGTTGGCCGGGTGGCCGCTGAGGCCCTCCACCAGCTCGGCCCTGTACACTGGCTCACCTGTCCCCGGCCAGTGTGGCCTCAGGCGGATCTTGGGGGGGGGAGCGTCCCGGCCAGGGGGTGCTGGCCGCATCAACTTCAGCTTGGGGATGGAAGTTGTGGATGCAGCGGGAGACATGTCCCTACCAGCCTGGAGCTCAGCATCTGGCACCTTGGGGTCCTGGTGGCCGCTGAGGGGGGGATGGAAGGGCTCCAGGGACCCATGCATGCGGGAGGGGATCTTCACCACCTCACCGGTGCCCTGGGGCGTGCTGTAAGAGATGGTGATGACGGGGCTCCGGGGCACCAGCTCTCCGGGCAGGTCCTCCTCCCTGCGGCTCCTCCTCGAAGGGGCCACTCGAGGGCCCTCCTGTTGCTGTGGCTCCAGGTCAGGACAGCTGGCTGGCCTCCTGGGGGGCGCTGCAGGGGCGGCCCCGTGAGGGCTCTGCTCAGGGCTCACTGAGCTCTGACACTTTTGGCACAGGACCTGGCGGGGCCGTAGACGGATGGTGCTCAGGATGAGGCGCCCTGGGGCCCGGTTTCGGGAAAGGCGTCTCCGGGTGCGCTTGATGGGCCTGGGTGGGGGCTGTGGCACCCACTGGCCATACGTGTGCCTCAGCCAGAGGGGGTGTGGGAAGGGGGCGTCTTCAAAGTATGGAGGGTAGAGGGGCTGGCTTCCAGCAGGTGGGGGTGGTGGGGCCAGCGGTGGGGGGCACTCAGAGGTCACGTTCTTGGCACAGAGAAGTGAAGAGTCTGCTCCCAGATGAATGGCCTCGCTGTCCCCTTCCTGGGGGGCCCGGCCACAGTGGTGGCTGGCAGTTGTGTCCTGAGACTTGGGCCGCGAAGCTGGTGGAGGCGGTCCCAAGAAGCTGGACCTGGAGGTGTGAGACAATGAGGATCACAACCAGTCACTGTGCCCCGCAATCGGCTGCCCCCCCCACCGTGGTCCAGCACAGCTGCATGCTTGCACGCATGCGTGTTTTCTATTGTTTAAAATTATAATTTGACTGCAGGTTTCCAAAGCCAAGAGGCTTCCCAGCCACTCACACGTGTTTTGTTTTATGACATTATCTGCGACACTCTTCCCACTTTCCTCCTACAGCTCTCAACTCCATGTATCCTTCTACCCTCCCCCACAGTCAGGGACTGGCATGTAGGTCAGAGGCAACAAGGGGTGTGTGAGGCTGCAGCAAGAGGGCTCCAGGACCCCACATCAATTCCCAAACACTCCAGAAATCCCAAAGGCCTCTTGGGACCAGGCAGGTTGGTCCAAGTGGTATGTGCAAGGGTGCCTCCAGAAACCACCTGGGTCCCTGACTCGAGCTCAGACGGTTCCCAGGGGGAGGGCCTGGGGGAACCCGAGTTGGGTGTCAGGCAGGTCTCTGGCCCACCCAGCCTGACAAGAGCATGCCCTGTGTGGGCTCCACATGTCAACAAGGACAGTGTGTGAGTGTGCCTACAATTCTGATGCCTAACACTCCCCATAGGCCCCGTGCCCCCAGGGACACTGGTGGGGGTCCACATACCCCATGCCCTCAGAGACACTGGTGGCGGGCATCTACGCTCTCCACAGGCCCCCATGCCCCCAGGGACACTGGTGGGGGGCATCTACACTGTTCACAGCCCCCATGCCCTGAGGGACAATGGTAGGGGGGCCCATACTCCCCACAGCCCCCATGCTCTCAGGGTTACTAGGGGGTACCATCCATGCTCCCCAATGCCATGTCTTCAGGGACACTGAGGGGGGGTACCATCCACACTCCCTACTGTCCCCATGTCCTCAGGGACACCGTCGTCATTCCTCCCCGGCAGGCCTACAAGATCCTTCTTCCTCCCAGGAACCCTCAGGCCCCTTCTGGCAAGGCCTCCAGAGTGGACTCTGGGCAGGACACTAAGGCTCCACAGACATCCCCAGCCCACACTTGGGGCACAGAGGCAGGCTCTCACCTGGCTCAGGCTGGCCCTAAGGCTGTGACATAAATGGCCAAGGAGGGGGCCAGGGCATCCCCACCTGGAAGGCCCACAGTCACTGTGTTAGCACCTGAGGCTCCCAGCCCTGAGGAACAGAGCCAGGTAAAGCCTCCAGAGAGAGGGACTCAAAGGTGGGAGGCCCCGCAGCAGCACCCTGGCTGAGGGGCCCTGGGCCTGAGGAGGCCCGGCTGTCTCAGAGCCAGGCAAGCACTCCCTTGTTAACAGCAGGCGCACACACACTTAGCAAATGTCCTGTAATCGTTAAGACTGCTACAGCTAAAAGCAGTTATTTTTTTAAGCCCCAAAATAGACTTTTGACACCACTGGTATTTCAGGCGGGATGGTTGTCTGCAAGATGCTCCAACCGCATGCCTGCCTCTCCTAGATAACCCAGTCTTCCCAGGTTCCATAAGGATCTCTTCTCACTCTACAAGTAACACTTCTGGAGCAGCCCTACTCTGCCCCCAGATGACTGTCACTTGGCCTAAAGAAACAATGGACGGAGAATGTGGGCTGGTGTGAGACACAAAGTTCAAGAACATTCTCATGGATAAGAAGTGCCTGATCTGTCCTTTCTGAACCAAGAAAAAGCTTTGAGGCCAGAAGACCAGCAGTTGCAAGAGGTGGGGGAGGAGGGAGACGTCCTGAGCATTTTTAGGGAACTGGAACAATTCTGTATGGCATTGTCCTGGTGGACAGGTGGCATCATGACATCAGGCACTTGTCACAACCACAGGACTGCACAGCATAGAGTGAGCCCTGATGGGAACTGTAACAATGTATCAATACTGGTTCCTTAATAGAAACAAATGAACCCTGGCCACACAGGTTACTAACAGGTTAGTGGGGAGAGACCACTGTGGAGGTAGGGGCGCACGGGAGCTCTGGACTTCTTCAACAGTTTCTCTCCAAACCTCAAACTTGTCTAAAATTAGTCTATTTAGAAAAACAGACTTTCAGCCAAGAGAAAAATGGGATAGAAACTCTGCATGCCCCTTTTCGAATTTAAGAGTGAAACACTCAAAGTTTGAGGGCTTCTCCAATTTCCAAATGATTCCTCCCTTAGCAGCCTCCCTCAGCCTAGGACTTGCAGAGGGCAGCCAGGGGACTGCTGCTGGGGTGTGCCCGAGCCGGACAGGAGAGAGCCTGCCACCCACTGGCCCATCCACTGGGGAAGAACAAATCCTCTGTGGCCAGAACCTAAGGCTGGCACTTCTACCACCCCATCCACGTCCACCACCACCACTGTCCAGCCCTTGAAGCACAGGCCAGGCCTCTAAGTCTGCTCTGGGCCTAGGGGCTAGACAGCAGAGTCTAGGCCTCCAGAGTGGCCTTTTCCAGCTTGACTCACACTGCCCCACCCCCAAGGCCAGCACCATCCCTGGATGCAAAAGCAGGTTATGTTCGTGCTCCACAGGGCCCCTGGGGGCTGTGGCCTCGGGGGGGTACCTGAGGCTCCCCTACTTCCTTCCTGATGTCCACAGTCCAGGCCACAGCCTGACCTCCTGGTATTACATAGTAGGTGGCCCAGTCCCAGATGTGGCGACACCCAGTCTGGCCTCTGCAGTCAGTGTGGCTGCTGGTCCACACTGGGGGGTAGATATCCTCATCCATTTCACTGGATGGAAGGAGAGGCCATGGCCTGCCCAAGCCAAGTCCTCAGGGTCTGTCAGGTGGAGGGCATTCGGGCTTCTGACCATCAGACCGTAGGGACAGGGACCTCTGGCCTCCAACCAGGTGCCATCCTGAAGGAGCAGGTGTTGGCTCTAGACGAAATTAGCAGACTCTCAACATGGGCAGGGTCCCCGGGGCCCAAGACTGGGGTCGAGGATCAGACACTCATTCTTCACCAGATTCATATGATCACCCTGGGAGACGGGGCCCTAGCTGGGCCTAGAGTGGGACCCTGTTTACTCTGCAAACCGTGCTCAGGGCCATGGGGGTGCACTCTTGGGGTTGGCCTGACCCAGGGTGGAAAGAGGTCAGGGTGACTCAGTGGGGTGGAGACAGGGCTGGACCAGCCTCAGGGCTCAGAGCACCAGGCAGGACAGAGCCCCACAGAATGAGGACCAGGAAGCAAACACCAACTCAGAGCAGGGAAACTGAGGCAGGGCTGAGAGATCCGAGAGCCTCTAAGGGATTGGACTCCAAGACAGAGTTGTACCACACCCTCAGGTGCCTGGGGCAGGGGCCAGAGCCCTTCAGAGACACCAAGACCACCCCTTTGCCCAGGTGAGGCGGGAGGATGAAGGAAGGAGACATGGACTCAGGTAAGACTCAGATGGGACTTGTGGCTTGCCACACCCCTGCCTCACCCTCAGGGATGAGATGGGAGAGGCAGCCCTAGGCCCCACTCACCCGCCCAGCTCTGGCCTGCCCAGCCCCCAGTTCACTCACTGCAGACTCAGGTCCCCCAGGACCTGCCACCCACATGGCAGCGCTCAGCCTATAGGCAGGTTTTATGCCTCAAGTATCTCGATACTTGAGCCCAGCCCTGCCCCTCTGCTGGAGACTTCTCACTGAAGTGTTCCCAGACCAGCTGTGGGCTAGATGGGGGTGAGCACGTGCTGCAGGGTCTCAGCCAATCCCCCTCTGTTCAGGAAGCCCAGGCACTAGGCTACCTGATGTCCTACCACACAGCCTGGACCTCTAGCCTGATCAGCCTCTCACCAGCCAGAAGTCTGGTCCAAGGGGTTTGAACTGCCAACATTATTCTAACCAGCTCAGTCCTGACCAGTGTCCAAGTCCTTCCCTCACAGCAAGGCCACAGGCCAGGCCCGCTCACGGGCTCATTTCAGATACTGCTATCTCCCCAGAGACGCTTGAGACCAGCCATGGTGGCCAGCTCCCTCCCCGGGCACCCACCTGCCCATCCAAGCTCAGGAGGTCAGTCGTTCACCTTGTGGCTCAGGGGTCACTGGGCACATGCTCAAGTCCCCTGGGACTGTACCCACACCCTGGGTCAGCCTGCTCATCTGTGTCCACTGTTGCAGCAGGAACCCCACCCAGCACACAGCAGGCACTCAATAAGCACATGTGAGCACAGAGCTGGTGGACAACTGGGCACATTCGCATAGAAGGCCTGCACACACAGGAGGGCCACGAAGAGGGCAGCATAGGCAAAGATGTGCTCAGGCCTCTTAGGACGGGAGTCCCCTCTGCCAATGGACACGGAGGGACTAACATCACCCCTTAACTGGCTACACTGCCAGACCAAGCTTTCAGCAGCCCAGCGTGTGCGACAGCTCGGCACAGTGGTACACAGTGACCCTCACTATGCAGACCCTCCTCCAGGATCCCCGGAGGACGCAGTGCATGCCAGCACCTGGGCCTGGGACCTCTGCCCTCATGGACTCCATTGCCCCAAGGCAGGTGAACATGAACCCAAAGATTCCTCCCCGGGGAGTGACAGTGCTCCCCAAAGCCCCCCATGGCCTCACACGAGAAAAAGATGGGCACTGGGCACTTGGGTCCACCAGGAAGTGGGCTCCAAAACACCACCTCCTGCTGCTCAGAACACTGAGGCTCTGACGACCATCAGCAGAGTGCTGACCCCCTATGTTGTGGGTGGCAGAGAAGAGGGGACTGGGGGAGGTTCAGGAGACAAGACACAGGTGTCAGCTCTGAGGCTGGATCATGGCAGTGTGGCGCGCGCACACACGCGCGCGCGCACACACACACACACACACACACACACACACACACACACACACACACGGGAGCTGAGCCCAGTTCTTCCCCAAGGACGTGGTGGGGTTCCAGGGCTGAGGATATGGCACAGACACTTGCCCCGTAGTCAGGGAACCCTCTCCCGCGGTGACCCCTCTCCAGGAAACAGCCACACAGGCTGTGGAGGCGGGCAGCCCAGAGAAGGGCGGTTGTGGCTTCAGGACTGTGAGGTGGAGGCCGTGGGTAGGCAGGAATCGCCGTGCCAGGTTCTCCACTTGCCGGTCCCTGCAGTCGACGGGAGCAGGGTGGATGGCGCGGGGTGGGGTGGGGTGAGGGTCACTTCTAAAGAGGTAACGTCAGCGGGAATGTCACCCCAAGAGGCAGCTGGGGGGGGGGGAGCAGGACGGTGGACGTTGAAAATATTGTCCCGAAAGACAAGCCCGGGGTGTTCGCAGGGATTAACGCCTCATCATTCATCCCAGCTCGCTGCCACGTGACCCGTATCCAGGCGACTTCTGACTCCTCCCCGTGGCCCCGCGCTCAGGTGCGGGGAGGCCGGAAGCTGGGACCCCTCCACCGCCCGGACAGCGGGGCTCTGAACTCGGCTCCAGCACCCCGGGCGCTCGCTCCGACGCCAACGCGTCTGCTCCAGCTCGCCGTGCTCCCCTGCCGGCAGAGCCCCTTCCCCGGCCCCCGGGCACTTCTCTAGCCGACACACTCCCGCTCGGGCCAGGTGACAGGTGACTGCCCCACCCTCACGACCCTGCTGACGCCTACGGGATCCCAGGCCCGTCCTAACAAAGAAAAGTGCGCGAACGGCGGCTGCCGAGCCGGTTGGGGCCCCGCGCGCTCCCTGCGCCCGTGCCCTGCGCGACGCGCGCCCACTTGGAGCAAAGCGCTCGGCAGCGGCCGCGCTCCCGTGTCCGGAAACCTGGCGTCGACGCCGCCCCGGCGCTCACCCGTGCGTGCAGTCCAGCAGGATCCCGGTGAAACGGCGCTCGCCGCAGCTCCAGGTGACCACCAGGGCGCCGGGCGCCACCCGCTCCACCAGCACCGGCAGGCGGCAGCCCGCGCGCGGCTCCATGCTCCGCCGTCCGGCCCTGCGCTCGGCCTGGGC